AAATGTGTAACTTCACAGTTTTACGACACATTTTTATTTTTTTGACTTGTAAAATGTTCTTTTAAATTGACAAACATCATATGTGTCATTCGTGGCACAATTCAAACGGGATCAAAAGATAACCTTTCTCTCTCCATTGACTTCAATGTATAATTTTCCGCTTCCGGGGTCCCATGGAGGCTCCCGGAAGGGGAGGGACTTCGCCTCTCTATAGACAGACTGGTGTGAAGATGACCAAGGGATGACTTTACTTTGTAGATACTCCACAATCTGATATGTCGATCGATGACAGACTCCAGGATTCCTATTTCCTTGTTAAGATCCATGTCTTAGTACGTGGGTTATATGTTCATTTTGAATGTTTGTATGTAAAACCCGACACTTACCTGACGTGAAATGATCCCCACAAACGCGAGTAGTTGTGGTTGGATGGTTTGAGATCCTCCCGTCCGATCCTATTGAGCAATTTTTCCTGGCGACGCTTTGAAAGCATGTGTTGCTTCACCCTGGTGTGTTATAATAACCGCCGGCAGCCTGTAAAATGACTTCGGCCCCCTGTTTCGATCACCTCTGTTGCCGCAGCCAACAATGGCACAGAAGTTAACCATTGTATGTCCGGTAAAAAACAAACATTGAACAGGTATGGTGTATTACGGAGTCTGTTTTGGTACTCCAGTATGGCCGTTGCGCTGACGTCACGGGTTACGTGACGTCATATGCAAATCATTTTCTAAATCCATAAAAGCATTTCAATTAATATTGGGAGTCATGTCGTTACTTTGTTGAGAATGTAGCCATGTAATAAGCGGGATAATGTGCACATTGCACATTGCATGATGTGCCTTCATGCCGATCTAGATCCCTCCGCAAAAAAAACAAAAAACCGGCTCGTTCGCGGGCGCGAGCCGGCTCCCGTCGTTCACTTAAAAAAGCCGGCTCGTTCGCGACCGACACATCACTAGTCCAGCCTCCCCCAAACCTTCTTAACTGTTGAGGGGGAGCTGAGTGTCACAGCTAGCGCCTCTGCACCGGGCTGCTGGGTAGCCATGAAAAAACGGTCGGCCTCTTCAGCCAATGCACGGGGCTACGTAATGGACGTGTTGGCTAGCGCCGTCTGAACCCGGGAAGGCAATTGGCGCAGGAACATCTCCATGAACAAAACCCGAGGGTCTTCCCCCTCCTAGCAGATTCAGCATTTTCTCCATCAGCTGAGATGGCTTGCCTTGAATGTCAAGAATCTGGCGGGCCCTCTCCTTAGCAGATAAGCTAAATCAGGGTTGCCAACTTTGGGTACCTGGCTGGAGTGAGATTTTGATATCATGGGTTTGATTACACATATGCGCACTAAATGACTGCTATCATGTCAGCAGCGGGACCTTAGCATATATATATACAATATATACAAATACGCAATATTGGACACAGACTATAAAGGTCACACAGTTTCATTCACTAATGAAAGTCAAACACATGTTTGTTTCCACTGTTTTATTGTGTGCCTGTCGCGATAAGCAATTACTTGACTTATCGTACGATAAATAAAAATGAACTCGATACATTTCCATTTACATGAGCATGTGACTAGCAGTTTGAAAGGATGTACTTGAATTATTATTATATATTATCATTATGTCAGTGGTTGTCAGGATTCTCATGATATGTCACGTTTTTAGTTGTGTATGTTCTAAGTTTGGGTTTATTTTGCTGTTCGGTTCGCCCTGTCATGTTTTCCTCCTGGTTTATTGTCTGGTCCCTCTCTCTGTGTTTTTCCTCCTGTCGTTAGTTTCCCTGGTGTGTCTAGTTGTCTGAGTGTGTTCACATGTTGCCCTTGTGTTTCTCCTCCCCTGCCCGGCTGTTTCTCGTCTTGTGATTACCCCTCCCTGTATTTAGTCTCGTCTCGTCCTTTGTTCAGTGTTGGTTCATCTTTTGTTTGTGAATGAGTTCACCGGTGAGAGTTCTGTTTTGTCCAAGTTATTTTTATTTTATCCTTGAAATAAAGGCTTTTTTCAGCTTTATCTGCATTTGGGTCCTGCTTGCGTCACTCACCGTAACAGTGGTCTAAAATGGTCATACAACGGTGCCAACAATATTATCGTTTATCGCAATAATTTCCGGGCAAATGTATCCAACAAAATTAATGATCGTGAGAGGCCTAACACACACAAACAAACAAATCTACAGACTTACTCCAAACTGCCAAATATATTAATTAACAAACTCTCACTCATATACTCTTTGACTCTATTTTGGCCGAGTAGAACAATAAGCAGCAGACTTTTACTTGGTTATCATTTCTACTGGATCTTAGATCTGCGCATGCGCAATACGGGTCGGGGATTGACCAACCGGCTCCCACTGCTCTGCTGTCTGTTAACGTTGTTAAGAGTGGTGGGGGCGGGGAGGGAGCGGATCCACAGCTTGAGCAGCTGTCAACTCAACATTGTAAATAACCAACCAAAAAACGATCGCCGGTTCATCTTGTTTTTGGCGTGAGAATAGTTTGGGGAGCGTGAGATTGAGAGTGAAAGCGTGTGATCACACGCCAGATGCGTGAGAGTTGGCAACCCTGAGCTAAATGTCTTAAGGCAGGGGTGCCCAACCTTTTTTGAACCGAGAGCTACTTTTAAAGTTGCCAGTCTGTTGAGATCTACCAGTCCAAATAGAGAGGCGTAGCCATTACTACCAGGTAAATACACACTTCTACTTGAATAAAACTGACCTTTGTATGATTAATACTTCATACAATACTGCAGATCCTTTATCTTACCTCTTTCTAATCTACACACATACAAGTATTTAACTGAAGTTACACAACAGTGTTGTTGATACGGAGTTGGAGTTTATTCACACGTCACATACTACAAGTGGGTAATGTTTTCAAGAAACATTGAACAGTGCTGCCACATATGACACAGGAAAAAAGGAAAGACTCTGAACCCTTTCTTTGCCATTTTATAAAAATACTGTTGCTACAAAAGTATAAATTAGGCTTACTAATAAGACAACTCAGATCTGAAGCTACACAGGAATCTGCTGTCAAAGTGCAATAAAAAAGACAAAATTATTAGAATCAAACCCTTTTTTTGTTGCATTTTAGTAGAGTATAAAAATAAATGCCTTTTTAAAATAGGATGCAAGCAACACTAGCTTCTTAACCTGAATTGATAATAGGCTATAATCAATTTAAGTTTGCATTCTTATACCATTTTGTACAATAATTATAATGAATAAGTTCAAACAAACTAAAACTTACAGCTGATTAATAACGGTATCTAACTTGAGTTTTTATTATATCAAAAACCTGTTGAAATGCTACTGTTATTTTGACTGTCCCCCAAAAGCGCGTCGGCAGCCTCCAGGCAGGAATGCTTCTTTCACAACTTCGCCGTCTTTGAAAGACTTCATGTGTTTCGCAAGAACGTGACTGACACGTTAAGATGCTATGGTAGCAGCCTTGCTCTTGTTGTTGGGCCTGGTGAAAATGGACTGCTTTGCATTTAGCTGCCCTTTCAGGCCCCTCACCTTTTGGAGCGTAGGGCAGAATTAGGAGGGAATTCCGTCTCGTAGCTTTTGTGCACTGTTTTGAAATGACGCTCCTAAATTACCCTTCTTCGATAAAGCCACACTCGCATTGCAGATGAGACAGATGGACTTTGAATTGGAATAGATACAAAAAATAATCATCCTCCCACTCGGAGTGAAAATTATATATTTTGGGCTTTTTTGCTTCTGCCATAATTGCGGTCTTGTGTGTGTGCGGACTGTCACTCCGACACGGACAACATCAGCGAAATAGTGCCCATTGGCATTGCCCAACAGCCACGCCCAGACACATGGGGTCACGCCGGCCAATCACAAAGCTTTGATGCGTTCAAGTACATTATTCTGGCACAGGAAGATTATGTTATAGGACATTAACGAAAAAACAGAATATTGTTGTTCTATTTTTAGACACATCTCGCGATCGACTGGGAATCTCCCCGCGATCGACCGGTCGATCGCGATCGACTGGTTGGGCACCCCTGTCTTAAGGAGAAGGGCCTTAATCACCTCATATTTGCCATGGTGCGGGGGTCCGCGATAAATCCCACCAACCTGGATGACGTGGAGCTATTTGTATTCTCAAGAGAATACAAATAATACAAGTTTTAATCAAGTGTTCGTTGTATTTCATATCATTAATCAAAATATGCAAAGTAACTAACGGTATTAAATAAATGCAGTTGAGTAAAAGTACACGATTTTACTACTGAATTGTAGTGGAGTAGCAAAACATGGAAGTTGTAAAGTCCCTGAAAATAGTTATTAAGTACATTACTTAAGTACATATACATAGTTAATGTATACCACTGACTGACATCACCTCAAACGTTAACTAACTAACTATCAGCTAACTAAATAGCTTACTTAACAGCTAACGTTTACTAGCCAGCTGCACATAGCCTACCACTGAAAGTAGCAAAACAAACTCGGGATTTTTTTATTCTGGTGGGTCCATATCTATACGGCGCTGGGTGGGTCGTGGCTGGGACTTCTTGAAACCAAACAATGGCTACAAACATAGCCCTGCCTGCATCTAAAATAAATGTAATGCTCAGATATTAACGCTCGCTTGACTCAGGCCTGTCTGTTGTTGTCGACTGAACCATGGATGTATAATAGGACTGAACTCACAACTTTCGTCTCTCCGAATCTCAACATTTCCCACAGTTTTCGACAGCATTCGAATGCAGCAGCTGAGCCGTTTGAGTGCCAAACGATGTGGTAAATACAATCTAGAAAGAAACCCTTTAAAGACAGAAATAAGGAAGCGTGGACTGGCACAACCCAATCTCAAAGAAATGGTAGACAGGGAGACTATTATATTATTCAATGAAGAGAGTTAATAAAGATAATTAATTTGAATTATATTTTGTTATGTTTAAATGGGTAGAATAGATAATTCTGGTTCACGCTCCAATACAGTAGGTGGCAGTAATGCACCTTTAACGCTGGTCACCACCCGCCTTCAAAGCGTAAAAATAAGAAGAAGAAGAAGAAGAGCGCCAAACGAAGGGTAGCATTAATAGTTTTTGAGAAATAAAGATAAATAAATCAAGCTAGCTGGAGAATCAATATAAATATACTGAAGGCTATTGATTTTTCTAAAAAGAGAGGAGGACTGTGGCTATGTTTAAAAACAAGTCTGCCTGGTTTTCAAGCAGTGTGCCACAGGCATGTCACAACTTTTGGAGTAAGTAACCCATTATCTGGTCAAGCTAGCCTGCTAGTTAAGTGTATATCACATGCTTTATTATAACTATTAGCTGGTATGGTAGCTTAGATCACAAAATAAGTTATTGACGTGAGCTAACAGGGTGGATTTAACAAACATCAACAACATTTAACAAAGACATGATATATGTATGGTATAGTAAGGCGGCTACCTTTTACTGAATAATAGATATACTGCAAACATCTAGTTTACATCTGTAAACTAGATTTTAATGTTAAATAATGTTAAATGTGTTCATGTTTGTTGAACACATTTTCTTTTTGTAAAATATATATTGGTTTGAGCTGTCTTGTGTGATTTGCCTACTTATGCTTCCCCTACTCCAGATAACACCACCTTTTGCAGAAAGGGGAATTACTACAAGATAATATACATACACACACACTAATGAACACAATCAAAACAACAACATGTGTCTTTCAGGGCTGGAGGGTGGGAGCATTGCTGGTTGCAGAACAGCAGATTACCTTTTCAGTGAGGATGCTACATGTGCAGATACTATGAGGTGAGCATGATGAAAAACTGTCTGCACATTAATTATCCCACAAATAAGTTGTGAGTTTTTTTTTTACAAGACCCCTATCGGATATAATTTTAGCCTTTTCTTTCAGGATATTTGAGAGCAAAGACTATCTTTGGAACAAGGTGGCGGTTTTTCACAGCTTGTTTCTGTCTGCCTGTGAGAGGCGCCAGAGTGTGAAGTCTGTGTGCATCGGTCATTATGTGCTGCCTCCAGCCTCAGTACAGGACGGTGAGAACGACTGCCCTACAATATATGAGGAGGAATCTGAGTGATTATTCAAGACACTATATGGGAACTCAGACTGCATACACATTACACAATGGTGTATGCTTAACCCTTACACAACCTTTTATTGGTTATTGCTTCAGCTAACCATTGGGAACCACTTTTGTAACATTCATACATTGTTCCTTTTATTATAATTTTAGAGGTGAGACAGGTGGTCGGTAGATTGATTTGGGAGTTTGAAGATGAGCAGTCAGTGGCACAGGTAGGTAAACCAGTCTAAATCATTTACAAAGAGACCGATCGTGTAAATCATTTTAGTTCGGCTTCCTTCTGTTTCACAGGGTTTTGGTAGCCAGACAGAAGATGAGTGCAGTGAAGTCAGCAAAAGCAAGTATGTTCAGTTTCCACTATTTAAAATTGGATTTCCATACATTTTAAACTTTCAGTTAATTCATTAATTCACTTTCTATTTGGCAGCTCTGGACCATCTGATACGGGGTCAGAAAGTGAAGCTCCTCAAAGTGTTCATTGTCCAGTAACTGGCATGCGCTCAGGTGAAACATTGATTATCATTAAGTGAATGTCCCTTTTGTAAAATATTTGCACTTGTTTTTTCAAAAGTTTACAATAGAAGATTAGCCTGTAACGAAGACCTGGTGAAATAAATATGTACATAGTGAGACAATCTTCAATATCTGTTAAAAAAAAAGAATGTTTTAATATTACTTAATTTTCTGTTGATTTATTCACAACAGGTTACATCAGTATGGACAACCTCCAGAAATATTCAGGCGATCTGTGTGATTTCCATCCTGGATCTCTCCAATGCTCCCACTGTAAAGGCCACTGCTGCCCGCTGCACACATAAGCAGAAATGCATGAGAAAAGCATGTTAAAGGAAATAGAGTAGCTATTGTCCTGTCAAATGAGCATTGTGTAAGCAATAAGGATGGATACACTGGCCTAAAAATAAATCAGTGTCACATGTATTATTCTCATCTCATTGTGAATTTTTTCAACACTATTCTATTTGTCTGCCTATTGTTTAATGTGTCAACCATACTCACTATTTTTATATAAATGGTACAAATGGAAGCATTTGCAAAGCCCTGTTCAGTGTCTGGTATGACAACAGATATAATATAGACTTGCCCTCAAAGGTGCCATACGATTTAAACTTGTTTGTTAAACTAGCATGCTTAAACTTAGTCTGTAGTAATACCTTATTAAATATTACTTTCCTAACTGTAAGGAATGCAGCACCGTTTTGTTACCAGGGGTCTTATTGACCAGCTTTTAGATCAACAGTGAGCATTGTAATGGTAAAACGTAAACTTCTTGCTTTCATTTAAAGCATAGTTAAATAGGGGTATTCAGGTCAAAGCTTGTATTCATATCACAGGGTTCCCTTATTCAACGATTTATTTAAGAACAACTTGGTGTTGGTATTTCATTATTATCACTTCAGATAGAAATGTGAATACACTTTTTTCTTCTACAATGCAAAATGTAATAAAAAGAGGAATACTAAAGTTTCCATTATCGATACCATAAAGTCATCGTCAAAGACATGCCATGGCAGTTTAAGCAATCTTTAGTTGGACATGTGTGTGGGACTGAGTGTTGTACGGTAGTGAAAGGGTTTTTGTACTAAGTCACAGTAAACCGATAGTAAACGCTCAACAGTCACTTGTAACACTCTTAACGTAATTTAGAAAACGTTTCAAAGTAACAACGAGCAGCAGTAATATACATATTAATGTAATGAGTGCGGTTTCATTGTTTGTGGTCACCCCTTCAAAGTGGACTCTTCCGCGGGTCTTGACCAATTACATGCTTTGTTTTGGTCCCAGCCCCTCTATCAGGAAGGTGTAGCCTGCTGCAGGTTTCTTAATATGCACTTTGACACTTCGCCCAATACCCAAAAGGGGAATCTCTCTTTGGACTCTGTTATTGTGTAGCTTCTTCTTCACCCTGTAAGGTCTGCTCAGTGCTGCGTCTGTCATGGCGGGGGGAAATCTGTCGGTCGTGCTGCACGCCAAGGGAGACCTCCGGCTGGTAGGAGACCACATCCAACCTGTACCATATGCAGCAGACGATTAGTATGAATTAAGATGAGTGCAACCTCTTTTTTTGCCGATTTCTTACAGGAAAATCGCCCTATCCCGGAGCCAGGGCCTAATGGTATGATACATCCTACAATTAAATATAATATATAGTATGTGTGCATGTTACTTAGGGTTTTATGACTGAAAAGATTTAAATAATAGTCAATGCACAAATATCTTTCTCAATTTCAAATCTGCTGCATGTCAAAAAAATGCAAATTTGTTGCAAAGGAATATAGTTCAAACTGGAGAAACTAGGCATTGCTTTGAAAGTTTTAAAATGTATTGTTGTCTTGCAAGTGAATAATTCATAGCTGTCAAAAAACTCACAACATGTTTATTTTTACTTTTGGCATTAGTTTGCTAAAAATTCAACTGAATAGCCATTTTATTTTTCCTTCATTCATTAATTGTATCTGCTGAACAAATTCAGATGTAGGAAGGAGAGAGGGAATTCAGAGGTCTGGAATCAGGCTGGTCCGTAGTGTCTTTTAGTTACAAGGTAACAAAACATGCACACCCTCTTATGAGTAAGTGTCGTGTTCTGCACCCAGAGGTTTTGCTGCAGATGCACTCTGTAGGAATCTGTGGATCAGATGTCCACTACTGGCAGAACGGCCGAATCGGGGACTTTGTCCTCACCAAACCGATGGTTTTGGGACACGAGGCAGCAGGGCGTGTGATGAAGGTCGGATCAGAAGTCAAGCATCTTAAAGTAGGTAAGTGGGCAAGCAATGTAAGAATCTGCCATTCTGTTAAAAAGTGAACACTCTTATTTTAAACTACATTTATAATTCAAAAGGATTAAGTTACTTTGTCAAATCTGGTTAGTACCTACAGTACTTTAACAGCAATAAACATACACAGCCATGGCACTGTAACTTCATACAGTGTACATCAGGAAGTCTTACTTAATCCTTAAATGTGTATGGTATCGAAATACATTTCTCACTTGGCCACAGTGTAATAGAGTTACCTGGACAAATTGCATTGTGTATTTTGTAGGTGACAGAGTAGCCATTGAGCCAGGCGTGCCCCGCGAGATGGACGAGTTATTTAAAAACGGAAGATATAACTTGTCTCCTACCATCTTCTTCTGCGCCACACCTCCTGATGATGGCAATCTGTGCCAATACTACAAGCACAGTGCCAACTTCTGCTACAAGTAAGAGCTTGTTTTAAGGATTGCATGGCTTTACCCAAGAGATTGCCCAACAACTGCCTGATATTGACTACCAACTGACTCTATTGCCTAACCTTTGCATAAATCTTTTTTTTCCCCCTGTTTATCTTGAAATACCCAGGTTGCCTGATAACGTGACATTTGAGGAGGGAGCTCTAATAGAACCTCTGTCTGTGGGGATCCATGCCTGTCGCAGAGCCGGTGTAACCCTGGGCACCACCGTGCTCATCTGTGGTGCAGGTAACAATGAGCCAAGACCTTAAACTCAGACAATAAAACATGTCACCACTATTAGTAGGAAAATTCCATCAGCAAGATGCTGCAGCTAAATTTGAGGAAGTGCCCCACATACAAAGAGATAATTGTACTGTGTTTGTGTTGCAAGCAAGACATCTAAACACACATCAGTGGGTGCAGTCACAAATACATAACTGACTCGACAGAGCTTGAGTAAGGGAAAACTACTGAACCCTTACACAACTTGTAGAGGCCTAATATTTAACAAATCCCTTATGTTGCAAAAACAAGCTAATTCTCATTTAAGCCACTCATGTTAAGCATTACATGAAGCTGACAGTCCTTTGAGGCTAATGTTACACAGTACTTGTGACAGCTGCAAACTCATTTTAACATTGACTCTTTTTACTTTAAAAAATGTCATGCTTGAAATCAATATTTAAAACAGTCTCTAAAATAGGCATCTTTCTCTCTTCCCACAGGGCCTATTGGGTTGGTCTGCCTGCTAGTGGCCAAGGCGATGGGGGCCTCGCAGGTCGTCATCACAGGTAACACAAACCATTTCTATAGACAGTTAACATCTACTGTATCTTAACTGAAGTGACACAACATCATCTCCTGTTCGGTCTTCTCTTTTTGCCTGTAATGCTCCTCTGCTGCTCAGATCTGGCCCCCGAGCGTCTGACCATGGCCAAAGATTTGGGAGCAGACTTCCAGCTGACGGTGAAGAGAGGAGACGCTCCCCAGCAGCTCGCCGAGAGCGTCGAGGAGAAGCTAGGCGCTCAGCCGCACGTTACTATTGAATGCTCTGGAGTGGAGAGCAGCATTCAAACCGCCATCTATGTATGTGACTGCTCAGTTGTATTAGGAATAATGAAGAAAGTCTGGGGAAACTATAGACATGCAACGTTTACTTCTCCACTATAACTTATAGCTACTAGTTGGCGATGGTATAGCTTTAACAACCCAACAGTTTATTAAATGGTTGCAATTATCTCCACCTCATCATACTACAACATAGAAATGCTACCTACATCCTAATACATCAGTAATAGTATTCTAGTATATAATATATAACACTCACAGTTTCTTCTAACTTCTAGTTTGATGCTTCTAATACATTTTGATCCCAATGTACCTCTATGAAGCATAATGCTAATGAGCTTCAGTATAGTCATTTTATATTTACTTTTCCCTGTCAGGCCACGCGACCAGGTGGAGTGGTGACGCTGGTGGGTCTCGGCGCTGAGATGGCCAGTATTCCTCTGATCCATGCTGCTGTGAGAGAAGTGGACATCAGAGGAGTTTTCCGCTACTGCAACACGTAAGAAAATAACCACTCATTTGCCCTTCGATAAGCAGACATTCAGGCAGTTTCACCTGAGAGCATTAATGAGATCATTCATGCCTTGGTTGAAGCTCAAAGTAATAATTAGGTATCACAAACTGGATTGAACTGTTGAATAAAATGCTTGTCTCACTGTGTTGCAGCTGGCCGATGGCAGTAGCCATGTTGGCGTCAGGTAAAGTGAATGTGAAGCCCCTGGTGACCCACCGCTTCCCCCTGGAGCAGGCGGTGCAGGCCTTCGAGACCACGCGTCAGGGTCTCGGGATAAAGGTCATGTTAAAGTGTGACCAGAACGACCAGAAGCCCTGACCCACTGCAGGGAAACGGCCCTGAGCCGAGAGCCACTCAGCGTGACAAGCAGACACAAACACAGGCTGGACGTTGACCCTAGAATAGATAACAGAGAGTTCAAAGAGACAAACTGCATCAAGTGGTACGAGACATTATTGAATGAGAATTTTTAAATGGTTTATGGTTGTTTATCATTTGTTCCATTATACATTTTTTATAATTGTACATATGGCTACTGTAGTGAAAGAAAATCAATAAATCATACAATTGAAATAAAATCTTAGATGGCTTTTTGTGTTTTTTCCGATCCTGCACTACCTAATTTCAGACATCAGGGGGTACTAGAGGCTCAGAGTGAAAACGCATAACAGTGTTTTCGTCCCAATCCTATGACATAACATTCTACTTCTTTGTTTTTGTATACATGTCCTCTACTTTCCAGCATGAGCACAACATATTCAAGACATGCCTACAGTTATGGAACTGGGACAGAGATGTGTGCCACAACTCCACAAGCAATAGTTCAAGCATAGAATATTTACAGCATACTAAATGTTGTGCTTTACTTTTTTGTAGTTAGTAAAAAAGAAACCAATGTACATTACAGGGAAATATCCAATGAATATAATACAATGCTAGGTCTTGACTAGAGAAATAAAATGTATTAATTCAAGCTCCTCCATTCACACGTTTAATGTTTATTTACTTTTACTAACATTGGTATGTACTTTTTTTAAGACACATCTAGTAACTCTTATTACGATAATAAGAGTGAATTTTGAATTTGACTGAAAGGTAAATGATTAAGAGAAACAAATAAATGAACTGTTAATTTTAAAATAGTATTAACTTTCATGGGATTGATTTAAAGTAAGAAACGATAGGTAAAAACGTTGATATACCATAAGATACTTTTCCTCACCGATTGTTTTCTTTTCCTGGCAGCAATGGGCTTCTACACAAAACAATCTAGTCATGAACGTACAAGGATAAAGAAATCACTGCACCCCCACTCAGCATATTCTGTTTCTGAACCAGAGTTCAGTTTGAGCCAGTCCAACAAAACCAGTCAGGTTTAACTCAGATTTTATTGTCTTGCCACAATGACATGAAACTACTTTACGAGGCATGCACACAGATAATGTTCATATGATTAAAATGTACTACAACGCATGGTAAACCTTTACCCGGCGGTAAGGCTCGTTTCCGTCACAGTGTGTGATTCACAGTTCTCTCTCTCTCTCCCTCTCAGAGCTGAAAGCCAACAGGTGGGGAGAGGTTTGCCGTGACTAAACCTGTGTGTGTTTTTTGTTTTTTAAATGAGCACAATACTAGACAAGTTTCTCTTTATGTACACACATTCTAATACTGCTTATGGCAATGGGACAGCTCACACAACACAGTTACATTCACAATCCACTCAGTATGCATGAGTGTCAGTCAGGAACACTAAAGATGAACGAACGGTAGCACACAAAATAAACTTCATTTTTCATACATGTGACTTTGATATCAAAAGCATACTTGATGCATGTTAATAGCTTTACTTGGTTGCTTGTTATTTAAATGTGTGTGAGTGTTTGTACATGAGATCTAGAAAAGTCTTCAGAGGTTGAACTCGTGTATTGCCGTTAAAATGAAGAAAATCAAAAGAATATGGCATTTCTCCCATAAACCCCTGCTGCGAGCATTGGTTTGATTCACATGTACATTATAGCAACGTAGCATATTTAAACATTTCAAAACACATTCCCCTGTTCACTGGCGACTTTTTTGATATCTGGCATTTCATTTCGTTTTTGCCAACATCTCGGTCCATTTTTACTCAACAGCCAGATTCAATTAATATTTACAATCCTCCGACACCTTCCCTCGCAATATTAGCAAAATATGTATTTACATGATAAATAAATAAACAGAGAAGAAAATGAAACTATACAAGAAGTATAGTAGAAGTATCATATTGCATTACATGAATATAAAAAAATAAATTGTGACGCATTCGCTCGATAAGTCCGCCCGCACGATCTCACTGAAGTGACACGGAAAAGCAAAGACAGGATAAATAACACACCACACACACACACACACACACACACACACACACACACACACACACACACACACACACACACACACACACACACACACACACACACACACACACACACACACACACACACACACCACACACACACACACACACACACACACACACACACACACACACACACACACACACACACACACACACACACACACACACACACACACACACACACACACACACACACACACACACACACACACACACACACACACACACACTTTCTTCAGCTGGTCAGATGGACAAAGCATGTCAATAAAATGGGCATTTCATGTTAAGCACAGACAGGAGGAGATTGATGAAGAGCTGTAGTCATCAGCTCAAAGAAATAAATTATAAGAGATTAATTGTCAGGGAGAAGCCTCCTCCCCCGCTCACTGGTCAGCTTGGTTTGTCCCGTAACCTTATTGGACAGTCCCTGGACATCGTCTATATGTACATAGGTGTCTCCTGTCCTGTGAGGAGTCTGAACATGGCCGCCGGCATGGTCTTCATGTGAATCTGGCAACAAAAAAAACAACACAAATCTCAATGAAAGGGCCAAATATTTAGATCTTTGTCTTCATGTTTAATGCTGTAGAATATTGTCTGTATTATTTTCTGGTTCCATGATAAAAGGGTTTGAACTTTAACCATAACACTCATTGTTGCCGTGGACAAAATCCTGCGCTAGCCAATCTAAAGTCCATTTACTGCATTGTGTGTATGTTCAAACACGTAGAAGTTCTGAGGTGATTAACTTATTCCTGTTAAATACTACTTGATACTTCTACCCCTCTACATTTCAGAGGTAAATAATGTACAGTTTGTACAATTATTAGTCTGCAATTATTTGACACTTAGGATACAGTTGTTAATTTCCCTTTTTATAAAGAAAGACAAACAGCACTTATACAGTACTACAAATGTACCCAGTAGGATACAAATAATCGAAAATTGGCTAAACATTGAAAACTGCTGCATTAAAATGCTCTTACATGTTAGTGATACAAACACTAGAGAGCCCACTCAGGTATTTATGCTGTAACTTGTACCTGCTCCAGATGGAAGTTTTAAAAGTAAAACCAAAAGCTAGAAACTGCAACACTGATACGTCCTCTTTTCTTGGGACTCTTCTTTCATATGATTTAAATCCAGGTTAACTTTAAATAGCAGACTTATATTATCCCCAAATGCAGAATAAAAAGCAGTGTAAAATCAATGGCCATGAACAAGATATATTGAGTAAAGTGAGAAAAAAGATTTAAAGAGGTGCATTTAGACTGCAGCTGGGTGAGAGGAATGACCTCGGTGAAGGTTTTGATTCTGCCATCTTATGCACTCCACTGTGTCCCCTCTACAGTGAGTAGTGAGAGTAGTAAATCATCTCAAACAAAGCTTCAGACCGTTGTGCTCCACAGAAAGGAACTTGATAAATCTAACAACAGAAAAAACATGATCTGTACTTGTGTAATATTTTAGTTCTGATCATAGAATTTCACATAATGCTACTGAACTGTATCTTTTGTTAGATTATCCCTGCCTGGTAATGCCAAGGTGATTCAAATGTAACTCCCCAATTTCTATTAGAAATGTGTGGTCGCCTAGCTTCACCTTAGATAACCAATTAGGGGAATTTTCCTCACTATATTAAAGTTCAACTATTATGCAAAATGCACTTTTTGATGTCTTTTATACATAAATATTAGGGCTGTCAGTCGATTACCCAAATCTCTAAAAACAGGGGTACAACGGAGCTGATCCAGATTTGCTGAGGACTTGACGTCAAATCGAAAATATGGGCTGGCTTTACATTGAACTTCTGGCAACGTCCCGCCCACGTCCCAACCTATCGTCCCCATAAACAGTCCGCAGCTGTGTGTCTGTATTCCCAGGGAGGACCACACAACTCTCTCAACAGTTTTATGTACAGTGTTATTTACTTCATGCCGATAGTGGTAGTGAAATAAAAACACGTGTTTTTCTACATATATGCAAATCTGTTCATCCCAATGTTAGTGTCCTCTGCTTTCTAATGTGTGTGTGTTTATGTTCATCAGTTTCACCTCGCCGACAGAGTTGGAGAGGGCCTGGACGATCTTCTCGTGTGCAGTGGCCACCACACTCTGCCCGTTGATCTCTATGATCCTGTGACCCACACGGACCCCCCCTCGCTCAGCAATGCCGCCGCGCATCAGACTGCAGATCTGACAAACACACAAAAGGTCGTCAAGTTATTAGCATTTTGGGAGAAAATACTGAGTAATATGCAAAAATAAGGCCACTGGAAAGGTGACATGTCTGCAGGGATACTTTGAAGACACCTGAAACAAAAACTATAACGGCCAAGAGATAAACTTCACATTACATACACATTATTCACTGAAGATAATTGGAGTTATGTTTTTAATCAAGGATTGTATTTTGTGAACAATGGTGTTCGAGGCAGAACAGCAGTTTATTACTGCAAATTCCAAACACATAGACACATTTGAAGATTCATCTAAACCAGGGATGGGCAACTTGGATGGTGGTGGGGGCCACATAATGTATGTACTGGCCACCAGGGGGCCGCAGATTCACTTGGAACACACACACACACACACACACACACACACACACACACACACACACACACACACACACACACACACACACACACACACACACACACACACACACACACACACACACACACACACACACACACACACACACACACACACACACACACACACACACACACACACACACACACACACACACACACACACACACACACACACACACACACACACACACACACACACACACACACACACACACACACACACACACACACAAATTCAATGTATTGTATGTAATTATTAACAAATATACTAAGTCTGACATCTTCATTGACATTTTACAATCTTTCAGGGAATATCCTCTAATAAGCTCACCAAACAAATATCAGTTCACAGAAATGTTATTAAAGTGGCATGTATGTATTGAACAGGTTATTTAACAGTGGAATAAAACTATTTTAAACTATTGGAAAGCATACACAGAGGGCCTCATCATATAACTTTGCGTGGGGCCACAAGTTGGCCCCTCGTGTCAACCCGCACTCTGCTGTTCCTCAGCGCCGCTCCCCCTCCCTCCCGCTGAAATTATGAATGAAAAGCGTATAGTAATCATAGATAACACGGCAGAGTCCGTGACAGTTTGTTTTCATCTGATTTCAAATAAACAAAGTCTTGGTTTTTAGAATATTAAACTTGTTTCGCCAAATTCAGATGATAAATACAACTTTTAAGCTTGTAAAGGCATAATTACAAGAGGCAACTTAACGTCAGAGCAGGCATAACAACAGCCGGTGTTTCTTGTGAGTGTTTCCCCGGGAAACAAACACAATACACACAAACGCATCACAGATTATTTTGCGGTATTTGGCTGCCGAACGAAATCATGTACGCCGTAAGTCTAGTGGACGGTATCAGTACTATAAGTAAAAAAAAAATATTAATTTTTTTAATTAATGACGTTGTTTATAAATTAATCTGAGGGCCGCAAAAAAGGCCGCCATTTGCACATCCCTGATCTAAACTAATGAATCCAATCTTTATTCATGAGAATACAAAGTAAGTTTAAATAAAGTTTTGAAAAGTATTACAAATCTCAAACCCAGACGTCAGCTTGAAACTCACAATGCCGTTCTGCACGCTGAAGCCCAGCTGATACTTCAGATCCGGTCTCTTGATGAGGACGGTGGTAACAGGAGGACAGCTGACGATATTCATCTTCACCTGCACCTGGTTCTTCAAGCCCTTTTAGAGAGAAACACGTATACATTGGTTTCACAGAAATTAATTGGAACAATTTTAGATGATCATTATGGCCTCGGTGTGTACCTTGATGATTCCCTGACAGGTAGCGAGGGGCAGCCCCACCAGGCTGGTGTTGTTGATGGACATGATCTGGTCTCCGATGCTCAGCTTTCCAGAGCGCGCCGCTGGCCCCACGTTCATCATGTTGGCCAGAATGACGGTGGGCAGGATGGAGCCCCAGCCGGACTCCACTATCACCACGCCCAGGATCTCCCCTTTGCTCTTCTCCAGCTGCAGCTGTGAGAGGAGAACGTCTGTTGCTCATTTTCATGTTCAGTCATAGACAAACTGACTACTTCTAGCTACAGTACCATGAAACCAAGCAGACATCTGTGGTCTAACAGCAGCCTGGATTTCAGAGGGTGGGGCTGGGAAATATCATGATATATATATATGAGTCTATTAAAAATGATCAACCATGTCATACTGTATATATCGAAATACCTATCCCTTTCATATCTCTGGCTGCCTTAAACTATATAAATCAATAAGCTGCAATAAGTGATGTTTATGCGTTTTAAATCTATATCAAATATTAAATCACATATTATTTTCATTATTTTCATTTCATTTTCCCAGATCTTTTCAAATGTCAAGAATCAGTCTAGTTACTACTGTAACGGTTTTTACTGAGGCCCTGAACAGATGTTTGTATAGAGTAGTAATAGTGGTAGTAATAGTAGAGTAAGTAGTATTTATAGATTCGTATTTAGTCTTTGAACTATATGTTGTCAAGCACTAAGATGTAAAAAGTACAAAATTATTATTATTATTCTTATGTATATCAGACATATACCCTCAGCATCGTTATGAATACTTCTGAATCAGCATCACAAACCTCCCCTAAGTGAACACACAGAGGGGCAGTGACACTTCTACAGCACAACCAAGCTGTATTTAGGTTGCCTATACTGTATTATTTATGTTCCATATTACACAAAAAGACACAAACTGATCCTATTATTACACCAGAATCTGAGTTACTCTGCACATCTAAACACTGCCCTGATATGGAAAAGAGCTCAGACTCTTCAGAGCAGCAGATGCACATGAAGCCATGGGAAACTAATTTGTCCTGCACACAGTCGGTGAGAAAGCAAGAGTGCTAGAGGAAAGCCGTTTCCCCATCTTTAAAAATGGGGCCCTCGCCGCCTCTGTGCTCAGATGGCAGAAAGTGTTTCACGGTTTTTAATTCTCCAAAAAGTTTTCAGTAATGCTTTCAGGGCAAAGTGTTAGCTAAAGAGGAAATGCTAAAGAAAAAAAACAGCTATCGTTGACATGCTGCGAGTAGATTTCACTGTACCATCTGCCTCTTAAATCTGTCTCATTAGTGAACAGCTCCTGTACATTTGTGTGTTTCTGTAACGGCCCTGCAGCACGCATGTAAAATCACTGTTTTATGTTCTTGTTTTTTCTCCTGCAAAACACAAACATTTGCAGAAATAGGGCCATGTGTGCGCACTGCAGGCTGGATAAATACCAACCTCTTTGCAGTTTTCAGAGTTGGAGAAGTGGATGAGGTCGTCGTTGTACATCTCCTGGGTGTTGATGATGTCGCTGTACTCCTTCTGACTCAGGTCCTCGGGGTTGATGCCGTTTGCTCTCAGGAACTCCTGGTAAGCGACGCTGAATGCCTGGCCGATGGACTGAGCGATGAGCTGGGCCTTTACACACAAAAAGCAGAAATCATGTTGTTGTGTTAGGTCCACCGACACTTATCTTGACTGAGTTGAATATAAATAACAATACAGTGTGAAAAAAAGCATCCGGTGGTATCGCACAATAGTGCCATTGAGGGTGCCAAGAATATGTTAAGGCTTCATAAAAATAGATTTTCCCTGTCATAAGCTATTTGTCCTCATTGAGGACTTCTACAGGTGCACCATAGAGAGTATCCTGACTGGCTGCATCACGGCCTGGTACGGTAGCTGCACCGCCCTCAATCGTAAGGCTTTACAGAGGGTGTTGAAAACTGCACAGAACATCACCAGGACGGAGCTGCCATCCATGGAGGACCTTTACTCCCAGTGGCTCAGAAAGAAATCCCTCAGGATTATAAAAGACCCCCATCACCCCAGCCACAAACTGTTCTGGCAGGCGGCACCGCAGCATCAGGACTAAAACCACCAGACTCAGGGACAGTTTCATCCCACAGGCCATCTATTTACCTAATATATAATATTCTAATAACTTGCTTATAGACTCTTATTACACTATTTCACTTTTTTAAACGATTTTTCTTTTTGTATTTACTATTTACTTGCACTATATGTTTCTGTTTATCTGTTTTATTGTGTTGCACTGTTGGAGAAGCCTGTGACCTAAGATGTTCACACTGTAGCTATGTTCGTATGACTAAATAAAGAACCTTGAACCTTGAGCAGGAAAGGAAAAATGTTCCTGCTCTGGCTTCCATGAGAATATTCCTGAAGATAATCGGCAGAAAAATAAATCCATACAAAGTTTATTTTCGGCCTTTCCAACGCTGTTGGAAAGATTTCAGCTTATAAATGATCAGCTATAGTATTCTGCACAAATCCATCACTTTAGACTAGCCATTCCCAACCAGGGGCTCTCTGACACGCATGAGGTACATCTGGATTTGGCCATCATTGGGTGAGAAAAGCGATTCATCCACATGGGCTGTGGTTGTATTGAAGGGGAAAATAAGCAGAAAAATAGTATTAAGATTGAGTTTTTTCTTTGGTATAGCTGTGAAATAACCTATAAACTACAAAATACGTCAGTCGGAATAACCTGGGTGACGTGTAACAACAGAAATATATCGCTAAAAGGATAAATGATTGAATTGTGCTGCTTAAGCCACCCACTCTTAAGTAAGCAAACCTGAGAGAGAGAGATCCAAACATCAACACTCCCAGGATCAGCATGCATCCAGTTTGAAATCTCGGTGTCATCTCAGGTGGTAATGATGAAGGGTTTTAAGCATATCTGTTTGGGCTGTTAGTACAAAAATCTAGTACACAAATATATGGAACTGCAGATTTAAAGCACCCTCCATCAAGACACACATACATTTAATACTAAGGAAGGAAAAACTTGTAATTAGCAAATCGTATAAAGCAGACTGAGAATCCAAAGCTTGGTCTCGGCTGTGAGAGACAAGATAGATCTAGAGAATATTGAGGGTGCGGTATTTTGCAGACCATATTCTCGCTGAATTCCTCTTTAATTTAATTCTGTACTTGAATATAAATCTCTTGCTGTTGTTGCAGACATTCATGAACCCAAACTCTCCAAATCAATACACTGAGAATTAGTTTTGCAGGGCAATAAAAAAGTCAAAAATAGCCAAACGCTGCATACAGCAAGCAGAGCAACAACGGAAACAGTTTCTAAGTTGATGGATGAGCGGCTGAACGGCTCCATTATAACTCCAGCTGGCCTTTAAAAGCTGGCAGCAAAAGTTAGCTGAAGAGAGGACAGACTGGAGAGCAGCCTTTAGAGCGACTGGCACACGCTCTGGACTGCTGGCTCCACATTGTTCATGATGCCAAGTCTTGCTTAATCTGCTTCAACAAGACAAGCAGCAGCTCTGTGAGTTATAAATGGCCAGACAATTTACATCATTTCCTGTCAGAGAGATCCTCTGAACGCTTGTTAAAGGTCCCAAAGCTACACTTCTGAGAATTTCTAAATATGACGAAAACAATTTCCAATTATACGGAGGAAAGATGAAAAACAGGAACAAATACCAGGATGTCTTTGAGCCAAATTACGTGAAAAGCGCTCATATTTGGAAGCTAAAATTGAATCTGACAATCAAATAACAATAACAAAGCAAAAACAAGCGTCAACAAGAGTCCTCTTACATAATAACAGAACAACACAACAGTGCGACCTCTGTGTGACCTATCACCTGCTCACAGTCAAAGGAATTTTAAGTTTTTCATTGTTTCTCATAAGCAGCCGGTTTGTTATATTAAAAACTCACTAAGTACTTACATCCTCAGACTCAAAGACATGGCAAATCATCTTGTACTGCTTTTTCGCCTCTGGGGCTCCGGGTGTAGTTTCGATGCAGTCCTGGGAGGCTGTGCGTGGCATGCGGCGTCTCGCCATCAGGACCACGATGTTCCCAATATCGGCAATGTAGGATATAGTTCGGAGCGCATTGTCCATCATCGTTTCCTGTAGAGACATCAACCAAAATGTGAAAGAGGCAACATATTTTGCTCTACAGTTAAGTCAAATGTTCAACTTGTATAGCAATATGACCGCAACGACTGTATTTATATATGCTATCATTTAGTAATATATGAAGATTGAGGTGTTTAATCAAATCATTTGGATTATGTGGACCTCACATCTGAAACAAAATATATACACAGTCATTTCATAATTCAGTGTCTCCAAACCAACTCAGATGACGGGGTTAAAAATGCTGAAACGAGACCACAGAATTGTGGAGAATCGTCCACTCCACATTAAAGGCCTTTTTCTAAAGCTTTAACCATCCTTTAGTTACGCTGCTATACTGTAGGCTTATACTGCTGGGAGACCTATACGAAGCTCCTCTCTCTCCTCCTCTCTCCTCGTCTTCCTCTCTATCTGTCTGCCTTCATGGGGAATCACAATGTCTTTGTGCTGTGTTGTGTTGCCTTGGATCATGGATTGTTGCTTCACCTGCTGCTGTGGTTTTGCTTGCTATACACACTGCTACCATTTATATTATTTGTAGGGATGCACGATATTGTTTTTTTGAAATCGATACCGATACCGATAACTTCCTGCTTCTCAAGACCGATACCGATAACCGATAATAATATAATATATATATATATATATATATTAAATGTACCTGTAGTTTTTGCACACCTGGTGGTAAAAAAAAGACTAGTAGTGAGCAAATGACATGAGCATTACTACTATGAACAAAACAAAGCCAAGAACAGTTTTGACTCTTCACAGTGACCATATTTATTTTCTACGGAGCCCTGGAGGGTTCATAGAGAGAAAAATAAATAAAACGTGGCCACGTTTTACTTTCTCGTGGGCACGCTTTAGTAACTCGTGCGCACGAGTTACTAAAGCGTGCGCACGAGTTACTAAAGCGTGCGCACGAGTTACTAAAGCGTGCGCACGAGTTAATAAAGCATGGCCTCGTTTTGTGTGTGTGTGTGTGTGTGTGTGTGTGTGTGTGTGTGGGGGGGGGGGGGGGGGGGGGGGCATTTGTTTATGATAGTATCGTTCGTTCCGGTGCACTCCGGCAGGACTATAGCACATCGAGATTAAGATTAAACACATTTCTTTCACTTGGGAATACACTTAACTATGGGGAACCAGATTTGTTTAAAGTACTGTTCGTGGTAATTTGAAAACAAATGCCGGTGGTGTCGGATACACATGAACACGCACACAGAGCGGAGCTGAGCCCACACACACACATCATGCGCCCCGGTGACAGGACATCTCCTTCATAAAGCGAGGGGGAATACTCTGGTAGTTCGATGTGTGTATAGGTGTGTGTGGTTAAACGTAGCAGCCTCGATCTCTATTCAGCGGTTCTAATGAAGGGAAACGCAGTGAAGTAAACAGTAAAAGGCACAGCTCTTTGCAGCTGGTGCTGCTCTTCTCAGATTCTGCTGAGTTACACTTTACTTCCTCCAGTGCCCTGTACGACGAAGCCAGTTCAACAGACCCTGGACCTGAATATGTTCGATTTACCCGGCTTAACTGACCCTAACAAACGCGATGTCGATAAGCGGTCCTACGAAGCTGGTTATCAACTCAGTAAATCAACCAGGGTTTCTCTGTCCGGCTGAGAGCGCGCTCAGGTGAAAGGGACGGGGTTAGCAACATTTGACCAATCACAAACATGGAGACGCGTGCTGACAGCGCAGCATCATACTTCATGAATGAATAGTGTAAATAGCCAATCCTGCTTCGTAGTACAGGCCACTGGTGCCGCTGAGATTTCATAAAGTGAAGGAGGTTTTCCTTCGATAAAACAGCTGTGGGCAGCAGATACTGTGAGTCAAGGACAGGAATCCCTCAATTTAAATTACATTACATTACATTACATTACATTGCATTTAGCTGACGCTTTTGTCCAAAGCGACTTACAATAAGTACATTCGACCAGGAAGACACAACCTTGAAGAAAACAGAATCATATAAGTATATCAGGTTTAATAGAGCCAAACATTTCAAGTGCTACTCAACTGGCTTTAGGTAATCCAGTCCTTTATTGGTATAAAAGTGCTTCGTTAATCGTTCTAACGCTCGAAGTGGAGTCGAAAGAGATGAGTTTTCAGTTTGCGCCGGAAGATGTGCAAGCTATCTGCCGTCCTGATGTCAATGGGGAGCTCATTCCACCATCTTGGAGTCAGGATAGCAAACCCACGTGTTTTCGCCGATGGGAACTTGGGTCCCCCTCGCAGCGAGGGCGCAACGAGTCGTTTGGCTGATGCAGAGCGTAGTGCACGCGCTGGTGTGTACGGTTTAACCATGTCCTGGATGTAGGAAGGGCCAGATCCATTCGCAGCACGGTAAGCAAGTACCAGTGTCTTGAAGTGGATTCTAGCAGTTACCGGAAGCCAGTGAAGGGAGCGGAGGAGCGGAGTGGTGTGGGAGAATTTAGGAAGGTTGAAAACCAGACGAGCCGCTGCATTCTGGATGAGCTGCAGAGGTCGGATGGCACATGCAGGTAGACCAGCCAGGAGGGAGTTGCAGTAGTCTAGGCGTGAGATGACGAGAGCCTGGACCAGAACCTGAGTCGCTTTCTGAGTCAGCTGGGGACGTATCTTCCTGATGTTGTAAAGCGTGTATCTGCAGCAGCGGGTTGTAGCAGCGATGTTTGCAGTGAAGGACAGGTTGTTATCTAGGGTCACACCCAGATTCCTTGCAGTCTGAGTCGGGGAAACAACTGAGGTGCCGATGTTGATTGTCAGGTCAAGAGTTGGACAATCTTTTCCCGGGAGGAAGAGCAGCTCAGTCTTGTCAAGGTTGAGTTTGAGGTGGTGAGCAGACATCCACTGAGAGATGTCAGCTAGACAAGCAGAGATGCGTGCGACGACCTGGGTCTCTGAGCGGGGAAAGGACAGAATTAATTGGGTGTCGTCAGCGTAGCAGTGGTAAGAAAAACCATGCGGGCTAAATAAAACGAGGCCACGCTTTACGAGTTACTAAAGCGTGCGCACGAGAAAGTAAAACGTGGCCACGTTTTATTTATTTTTCTCTCTATGAACCCTCCAGGGCTCCGTAATTTTCCTATATATATATAAATATATAAATATTATATTTATATAATAAATATATAAATATTTAAATAATTCCTTTGGATTCGCCGCTAGTTTAGCAGCGCAGGCGTCTTCGTACGCTTTTAACACACCATCGTAGCGATGGCGATGTTTCAGGTGACTAATCAGGTTGGAAGTATTATAGCTCGTTGCCTTTTTCCCTCCTCGTGGAACTTCTGCATTGCATTTGTTAATACAAATAGCAAGCGAACTATCTAACTCTGAAACTTTGAAATAGTCCCATACTACCGACGACATGTTTGTTTACTGTCCTGGCTTCACGGCCGCACACCATTTACGTCACAGCCAGGCATGAGTTAGGGAGCGCTGGATTTGTGAAAAACTCCCCTCTTCCTAAACCACTAATACCACACAAAACGGGAGGAGCCGAGTGAAAACAAGCGCCCCCTCATCCCAATCCACCCACACCGCAGTATTTTTTTCTTTTTTTTTACCCCAAAAATATATTGTATATTATCGGGGCTATTAATACTTTTATCGGGTTTATCGGGATGACGTCATAGTTCCTAATATCGGACACTAATTATTTGTCATATTTTGAAGGAGCTATTATTATTAATGTTGTGCATCCACCACACCCCCCTTCCTCTCTCTCAACCTGACCATGGAACTACAAAAAGTAAACTACTTTTTGGACCATGACTTACATTGGGTATTGATATAACATACGTAGGTGCCAGAGAGACCATGCTGGAGCCAATAAAAAGACACACTACTACTAATACTACATCACGATAAGGCCTTTTAAATGGCACATTTACGTCATTACATATTTCCACAGTGAGCTTGCTGTTAGTGTGTCTCAAAAACTAACTTAGCTTTGAGCAATATTTTGTAACAATTACTGGTAATGATCCTGTTTCAGTTAACAGTTGGCTTCCTTTGATCGGTAATATTTGATGATTAAAACATCAGTGTGCACACTGTGCAGCAGACTTGTTTCCTGTCTTTGTCAAAGCTGCCGGATTCTTTAGGGCAGAGAGAGTGAGATGAAAGTAATGTTGATAGAAAAATACACGCCTTATTTTGAATGAATTCAAAACTGTATGATGTGATTATAGCAAAATAACGACCCGAAGAATTTTATTTTAAGTACATTTAATCGGATAATAATGAACAGGTGTACAAAAAACTTGGTTTGGATATCAGTGTTTGTGTTGAAGAAAACAAAATGATATGTTTGTTTACTCAGCCAAATAATTACCATATGTTATGATGTAGCTGATACGAAGCATTGTTTCTGAACGCAAATATGGAATAGCAGTTTAGATTTACAATTGAAGGAGATTCTGAAGGTTTGCTGAGAAAAACTTGTTTTTGTTAATGTTTTAACATATGCTAAATGTAATTTCAGTTTAGTTAACTTCCCTTATTAACTGTGTCTGATGGGTTTAATACAGTATCCTAATTAATCCTGTTGTTCCAGCCCACCTTCACAGTGGTTCATATTATGAATCAATGTCAGAAACGATAGCAAGCTGCACTAAGCCCTTTAAATGAAAAATGAAGGCTTTTGGGGGTGGGGGGGAGGGGGGGGGGGGGAGGGGGGGAGGAGAGGAGAGAGAGAGAGAGAGAGAGAGAGAGAGAGAGAGGAGAGAGAGAGAGAGAGAGAGAGAGAGAGAGAGAGAGAGAGAGAGAGAGAGAGAGAGAGGAGAACACGAGTCGTACTATCTCGCTCGAGATCTATCTCTCTACTCGCTATCTCTCTATCTATCTCTAGCTTCTCGCTTCTCTACTCTCTCTCTCTCTCTCTCTCTCTCTCTCTCTCTCTCTCTCTCTCTCTCTCTAAAGAGTGCCAGGATCAGTGGCAACCAGATGGAAAAGGGAGGAAGATATAAACTGCATTGCAGCACGTCAAATTCTGCCAGGCGGCCTCCCACACACACGCGCACACACTTTGAAACTCATCAGCTCAGACTGAGCTGAAATAGTGCATATGAATCATATACACATTTAACTTGTAGTGTGAGCAGAAATCTCTTTCTGAAATCCCACAAACTGTATAAAAGTTCCTTTCAGTGCACGATTTTTGGTTATACAACTCTTAATAAACACATTTGGACATAATAAACCTGATAATGAAACCCTCTTCTCCAAATCAATAAAATACAACCAATCCATCATCAATGATGAACAACACCTTTTGTAACCATCATTTTGTCCGACAGTGTGAAAAAGTAAACAAAAATTGAGTTTATTGTTATTAAAAGTAAGATGTTGTGTTACCACACTAAGTGAAAGAAGGGGAGTGTACGGCTCCGTGGACTTATCAGTAGATCTTGAAGGCAAATGAATGATGAATCGCCAAACATTAAATAATTTAGGGTGATCCCAAAACATGTGAATTTAAGCGGCTAGGTTCTGCTTGCACCAGTCACACATGGGGGTTTTATTGAATGTGAAGTGGGATAGTTAAACTTCGGTCCAGAGCAGCAGAACAGTATGCCACATACATATCGAAGATGAATATATTCTCAAATCAATCCATGCTCTAAACATCAAACGTATTAAAGCCTCTGCCTAGCCTTTAGGGCAGTTAAGTTTATACATTCTCTCTTTATTAAATAATATATGTCACCTAGCTTTCACTTTCAGGAGGATATAATGTCATTGATTGAGTCTTGGAGTGTGTCCTGGGGTCTTTGAAAGGGATTGAGAACATTTGAAGAGATGAAGCTGCACATTTTGAGAAGCATTTCTACTTCTATCAAAGCTCCCCTTCCTGTAAAGACTTCCAGTGCCACTTCACACCGCTGCTTGTTGTTAAACTAAAAGGCAAGAAAACTTTTGACAAAGCCTCAGCAAGAGTGGAGAGAAGCTTTGAAGATTAATGGGATTTTTCATCCAGAAAAACATCCGGAAAGTCAAACTATAGTCTGAATGTTTGCATTCTGTCTTGTCTGTAGAACAATTAAAGAAGAGGCCATATTGTAACTTAGACAGTCCTTAAACAAATGACTTGTTGACTACTAGTATGATCATGACTTGAATATTTATACTATGAGGAAACAATGAAAACAGGGACGGTAGATTGTGCTGCAGTCATACAGCTGACACAGTACGTGATCTCCATGCACAGATGTTTGTGGGGCTTGTTTTCGGCTTTGCTGTGTCTATTTATATCCTCAAACAATGAGAATTGTGACATTATGGGATTAAACAAACAAATAAATAAATAGCAATAATTGAATTGGGTTTCAAAAGAAGCCATTTGTGTCTCTGTTAAGCTGCATTCATGACAGAACTCCCTCCCAATGCGTTGTATAACTACACATGAGAGGATAGTGGCTGAGTGACTGTCATGGTAAACAGCTTATACTCCCACAGGTGAGAATAGAAATTGAACAAAAACATGGTGTGTTTGTTTGCTGGAACTCACCTGTGAGTCTGCGTTGAGGACTTTGATCCTCTGGGTGGAGATGAACAGATCGACCTCGGTGAGGGTTTGAGCATCTCCGTCTGAACCCTGCAGCGAGATAAAGGACAAAAAACAAAAGAGTTGGTCAAATTGTCTTGTTGGACTCTTGATTGTTCAAGATCTTTGAGGAAAACTTGCCGGTTTTATGGTTATTTACAACTGTCTGAATGGTCTGTGTTTAATGTTAAGATATTCAAAATGCATGCATGTTTAATTCAGTGTTCAGCTAGTAGGGGAATGCTTGTTAGATGGACTGGTTGTTGTCTAAAGGTGAGGTGGAAAAGGCAGAAACAGAAAGCGTTTGGCAGTGGTGTTTGTTTACATCAACTGTCCTGGCACGAGGACAGCGAGTTGGCACGGAAACAACAGACAGCTTAACATTAAACCCTAACCAGCTGGCTGCTTTACCAGCTACAGCACATAACAAGCCTGCACACACTTCCCTCTAATCACTGTGTAGTGCAGACTAATAACATTACATCTGATTGTGCTTAATTAAAATTGCCTGGTGGAAAAATATTGATTCAAAACATATAGATGTAATTAATATTTCACGGGAGGAGAGTTTGGATTGTAACACTTATTAGTACGTTCATTCTCATATGCTGTAAAATGTATTATCTCTTCAATTTACACACGGCATCTATTGCACGTCTGTCCGTCCTGGGAGAGGGATCCCTCCTCTGTTGCTCTCCCTGAGGTTTCTCCCATTTTCCCCCCTTAAACTGTGGGTTTTCTCTGGAAGTTTTTCCTTGTACGATGTGAGGGTCTAAGGATAGAGGGTGTCGTTTTTCTCATACTGATATTCTGAACAATCTGTGCTGTTGTATTTGTGAGGGGTAGGGGTAGGGGTAATGTTGTGAATCGAGTGGCCTGTGTTCGTCGTCCATTACATACACCTGCCCATACCATAACCCCACCACCACCATGGGCCACTCGATTCACAACATTACCCTTACCCTACCCCTACCCCTCACACCAGATACTGCCTGGTTTTCGGACCCCCCCAGACCCCCCCAATAAAGCAAAACTGCACGTTTCAGAGTGGCCTTTTATTGTGGCCAGCCTAAGGCACACCTGTGCAATAATCATGCTGTCTAATCAGCATCTTGATATGCCACACCTGTGAGGTGGGATGGATTATCTCAGCAAAGGAGAAGTGCTCACTATCACAGATCTTTTCAGATTTGTGAACAATATTTGAGAGAAATGGTTATTTTGTGTATATAGAAAATGTTTTAGATCTTTGAGTTCATCTCATGAACAATGGGAGCAAAAACAAAAGTGTTGCATTTATATTTTTGTTCAGTGTATGTACAGCACTTTGGCTCGACCAAAAATCGTTTATAAATGTGTTATATAAATAAAACTTGATTTGATTCTTATCCTACCGAGTGTCTGAAGAGGCATGGAAACCAATTAAAGATTAAAAGATACAGATCGCTTTTGATGCAACTTCTTCCAATCTATCATTTTGTGCATTTATAATTGCAGCTATACTCCCAATTCTTAATCCAACTTGTTTTGTATATTTAATGCATAACGGTTTACTACAAATGACAATCATGCTCTTCTATGAACGACATCAGCCTTTTCGATTCCCTGATGTGTATCTCTCAAATGTATGATAACAGCATCACTATTCTGTCAAGCCATACAAAAATGAAAGAATAAAACGGAATATAAAACCAAACAACAAAATGGGACCAGATATGTACAGCATCCAACTACCAGCCCCTTCCCCTTAAGGACTGTTGGATTGTACCATTTTTCTTCTCCCTAGGTTTTTCATAACATCCTTGTCTCCACTCTACAGAATAGTGCAGTGGAAAGTGAATTATAGCAAGAATCATTTTCTGCTCACTGATGAAGACTGAGTTAATCACACAAACAATTAGGCGTGCACTGGATTGTAATCTCCCCAATAAATAATTTAACATATTTGATAGTAACGCCACTGTAAGTAGAGAATATGAAACATAATTGCATTCACTATTAGAGTTTCTGCTGGTGACATGAGCTGTGCATTGGGTTCAGAAATGTTTCTCACTGTCCTCTTACAGTAACTGATATTACGTTGTGAGTCCTTGAATCTAACACAAAGGGTATAACCATTTAGTATGTTGTGCTTGTTTTAGTCAGCAACACATAAACTAGAGTATTTCAATTTGCTGTTTTATCTTTGTATTTGTTAGTAAACTGGTTGTTAGACATTTTCTACTCTATCAAGCCCTCCACTATAAACCACCAAATCACCCAAGGCTTCGGATATTTCAGTTTAAGAGTATAGAATAACCTTAGTTTAACTTTTTCATGTCATTAATAACACTTGTATTAATTGAATCACTTGAGAATTGTAGAGTCTTAAACATACATTTATGATTTCATGAAAATATTGCGCAGGTTATTACATTGTTATGGCACTGTATTAGGAGAAACCCCATGAAACAATACATCCTAAAGCTTCTCTCTTAGTCTTCTGCTGACATGTTTTCTGTTACCGTGGTCACAGGGGTGGCATATAGATCGGGCACAAATGAAATGAAAAAAGGTGAAGGTGGAGGGGAAAGTGGCCTAAGGGTCTTCCTTTTACTCTGTTTTTACACACCGCCTTTTTCTTGACTTTTGCAGCCTTCTGTACCCTCTGGCAGGCAGGCAGGCAGACGGTGGGACAGGACAAGGTCAGCGCATACAGGAGCACAAAAAACAGGAGGAAGAGGAGGAGGAAATAAAGAAGGTAAATAAAAGAAAGGTAAGACAGTTAAGCCTCAAACCAAACAGCAGGTGTGCTATTGCTGCTCTCAGAAACAGAGAGTGTGTGTGTGTGTGTGTGTGTGTGTGTGTGTGTGTGTGTGTGTGTGTGTGTGTGTGTGTGTATCTGGAGATAGCGTTCACACAGCCGTGTTGGTTATCTGATACAAATGAAAACAGCAATTATGGAGGATAATAATTGCTGTTTCTCTCCAAAACACATCAAATCAAAAGCATGCAGATATTAATTGACACTGTTCCTGCAATGTAGGCATATAAACATCTATTTGAAGAGTCTAATGGTTATTTGTATATGTTTTTCTTATTAGTGTTAACATTGCAAGTGTCAGTTTTGTGGTCAGAACATTTCCCCAAAGAAAGACATCGCCAAAAGCACTACAGCTTACGAAGACAATTATGTCGATAGTTAAGGTTGTGTGTATAAACACTGTGCTTACCACATCTTATGTTCATGTCACAGTCTAAACACTATTACTGGGAAAGACATGCTGGAAAACAATCAACACTCAGAGGCAGGGGACCGGATAAAGCCCAGAGCGAGGATTTAAACTGCGTGCTTGGGGCTTGTTGTCTTTGCTGCATTAAAAAGAAACTGACAAGGTCGAGTCACTATGTTTGGAATAACAGCTCGGAGGAAGTTTGACACGGCTAATGTGTCTGATTAGTTCATCAGCAATTCTGGACTCCACATGAGCTCAAATTTAACCTGGTAATCGTTTAGGGTACTCTTAGCATTTTGTAATCTTCAAGAAGAATCAACTCTCTTTCTGCCCCTCTCTCCTTCCGCAATCAACCAGAGGAAATTATCTTGACCCTCATTACATTTCAGATTGTGAGACTTTAAGTTTTCCTGAGCCACCTTGCAGAGCTTTAACCGCTAAGACAGTATTAGTGAAAAGGAATAAATAAGAGCAGTCTTTTTTGAAGTTTTCGCTGAGCAAAGTTTCCTTCTCCGTGATCTTCTCTCACGCAAGTCAGACATCTGAGGCTTTCAGTAGCATCTACTGCTCCGCTGAGGAGGAATTGAGCAGGGGGGGATAGACGGCAGGAAACAGTGAGTGGGGGGTGAAGCAGCATACATATTACATGAGATGGAGAGAACATCGTGTCAAAAAGATCTGCATAAATAACCTACAGTCTTCCTTGCTGCTCTTCAACTGGCAAACTTTGTTTTGCTCCCTACTGCACTACATGGTCTAACTGTGTGCTTGTTTGGGTTAATCCAGAGCAAATATACAAATATAAAACATACAAATATGGCTGCATGTTATTGCATGTGTAGGTTTGCAGTTGGCTGTGTCCATGTCAATGTCAGAACATGAAACGTTGTTTGCTGTGCAGCCTTTTATTCGTCAACGAGAAACAAATGGAGGAGATAATGGATGACTTCTTGTTCAATGGACCTGTTCCAAGCAGGGGAAAGCTATAAAAGGTGATAGCACACTGTTGCCATGGTTTCATCCTGACAAGACGTTTTGCGGGAAGGCATTTATGCATGACAGAGAGTGAGTGAGTGAGAGAAGAACCAATCATAGATTGGATGGATGTGAAATGATGCCGCTAGACATCCTTATTGTGGTGAAAAGGGCGTTTAGATTGAAACCAGCCAACGGGCCAAAAGACTTTCAGATTCTACGCCATCACTTTCCTGTCACTCTTCTTTTTTCCAAGAAGGCGTTATGTTTACAATGTCCGTCAAGATTATGGCTACATTTAAAAATCCAACACATTTTTTAAATGGACTGAAAAGTGCCTCGAAGAGTGTCGACCAAAAGTTGTACATTCTTTTCTGAAGACATGTAACGTTTGAAAAACATCTGTATATTCCTCAAATAAAGGAATTGAAAAAACAAGTATTGTTTTGGTGTCTTCAATAAATACTGGTATTGCATTGGCTTAGATGTATCGTATTATTAGAGATTTTAAAATGTACTATTATTTGCATATATATTATAATACAAATACCTGCAGGCATCAGTATCCATGTATAGTTTCCTTAAGTCACCATTCATTAAGACTCATCGGTGCGCCTGCACAACGACCACTAACCTTTACTTCTTAAAGGTGGAACAAATTACATTAAATTGAACCACGTGAAATTAAAGGGTAAGGCTGAGTGGGGAAATTATTGAAGGAATTGTCTTAATCATCCGAGTCTGTCTTTTAATTAAGGCCCCAAAGTAGGTGTTTATTAACCTAGAGTTACCAATCATAAGGTACCCACTAACTGTGTCTAAAATAAAGACAATTAGAACAATTTTAGTGCACAAACCAATCTCTTTAGTGGCACCCATTAGAGTTAATTATAACAGGCAGTTATTTACTTTTTCATGCCATCTTGGTGTTTGCTACTATCCTTCACCAGGAGCTGGATCAGGAAACCACATCTTATATTTCAAACAAACAGTAGAGCAAGTTTCTGTCTCTCTACTTTAAATTCCTGACTTATCCTCACTGGACAAACACACAGCATGTAACATTCTAAAAGAAGACTGCTACCCGGGAGGTTATTTAATATTTAGAATGAGAGGAAGATGAAAGAAACTGATGTCTGTGTAGCAAGTCTGCAACAAAAAAAACGTCAGGGCCGCATTATGTCATAACGAAACAATGTTGTTTGATCACACTAACCTCGAAATGTTACACACAAAATGCTGGATGTTTATGATTTTGAGTAGCAGCTACTTTAAACTCAGACACAAGCACTCTGGGTAACAGTGATGAACAAAGCAATTAAGCTAATGAAAAATAATAGCTGAGGTCCTCTGTGCTGCACAGCTACCTACATTTCTCTCAAAGTGCAATGGTCATCATCATCATCATCATCATCATCATCATCATCATCATCATCATCATCACCACCACAACATTAGTGAACAGCGTGGAGCAAATGTTAACATGCGAATATCAGGTTCACATGCCAGGAGTCCCATTAGCCAACCAGATGTGTCAAACTACGAGTCCTGTGACCCAATCCAGCTGCTCCCAAAGACCACTCATGCCTTATATATGTGACTATATTTCTTTGCTCTAGACGCAAACAACCACTATGGTCAGTTTACATTTTAGTGGCAGCAATCTGGCCAAGATGTTTGAATTGATGTATGAAATAACAGGGTATGCTGAACAACATCACGACTGTAACATTATACTGGCACCTCTGGGGAGAACAGAAAGAACCGCCTTCATCAAAAACTAGGATGCCATTTTCTCACACCAGGATCAAACAGCACACAGCTCTCCTGCTGTTTGTTGATATTTTAGTTTGGTGTAATTAATGAATGAAGAGGATATTGAAAAAACACAAACAGCACGAAATGTGGCAAACTAAGTTGTGTTTTTCTTGCTCGAATTCTTGTTCTTCCTCGTTCTGTTTGCTACCTTGGCTGATGAAAAATTAACAAACTCTTTGCTATTTTACTAATTAAGCTGCAAATACGTTGGAGCACTATCTGTGTTTGTCCAATAACTAAAACAATACATATTTCCTTAACTTGTGGACAGTACTACTATGACTTCTTGGTCATTGCAATGTTTGCAACTCCTCCTGAGAAAATGTCATGACTGAAAAAAATTGCCTATTAATTATGTTTTGTTGTTTACCCTAAGAGATATATATCTATACTTCGTGTGTGTGTGTGTGTGTGTGTGTGTGTGTGTGTGTGTGTGTGTGTGTGTGTGTGTGTGTGTGTGTGTGTGTGTGTGTGTGTGTGTGTGTGTGTGTGGGTTTGTTCGTATGTGTGGGTCTAAATACCTTGACCCTGCTGACAGCTTCCTGGGCCTGCATCATGCGAATGTTCTTGGAGGGGTTCCTCTCAGACAGCAGCTGGGTGGAGCCCAAGTAGTTAGCAGCAAAGATAATTCCATCAATCAGGTCCTCTGGTTCACAGGGTCCTGGGACTGGGCCATGGAGAAGCAGAGAGGGCTGTGATTAGCACGGAGACACGGGACGGAAAGAGTCAGCGTGCAGCAGAGAGCGTATTGTAATCACTGCAGTCAATGTGCTGTGTGGAGAAATAGAGCCAAACGCTGTTGCTCTGGACATGGAGATATAGTGATAGCAGGCTGTATGGGATTCAGCAGTGAGAGGGCCACTGGCTGGGGGCTGATGGAGGTGCTGTGCTGGTGGGAGGCTGGGCTGAGATGAATCTGCATCTGTGATATGTAGATGTGGACTCGCAGACACCCACCCAGGGACACAATGTGCTGTCATGATCTGAAGCAGCAGACAGGCAGCTAAGCCCCTCATACATTATTAGGCCTAGCATCTGCCCAGAGGCAGGGAAAGAGCACTGAAAGAGTTATAGCAGGCCTATGAAATGATAGACTGAAGGCTAAGTAATACTTGGACTGGCTCCATGCAATTATAATATTTTGATTTCATCAACAAACAGGTGTGCAGACAGATTAACTTACCATCGACAAAGCTGGGGAACGCTGTAACCTTCTTTGTTGGCTGCAAGACAAAAACAGGATATTACAGACACATGTTTGTGAACAGGGTTGCAGTTCAAGTAAGTATTTCTCTACATCCTTACTTTACATTTATTTATGTTTGTGAATGTTGCTATGGGGTACACTTGGCTAACATCGGTTGTTTTTCTTAATGTACTTTACTGCACTCAAACAGCATGTCAGTTTATGGAATAAAGCAGCATATACTTAATATTCCTTTTTAAAGATCCCCAGCACAAATATTTAACATGATTCACAGAGAAGCCTACTGATTTATTTTCAAAGAAGAATTAGAAAACATAGATGAGAAGAGAATCTTTAAGTTAAAGAAGCCCAAACCATTTCGGTCATTTTATTAGAAAGGACAACTTATTGCTTTTTATTTCTGTGATTTCAAGTGTTGCTGGACCTTTCACTAACATGCAGGACCTATTGTGATAAAACATGATGCCTCATGCTATTTTATCAAATGCTATATCAACACATCCTGTGTGAACAGTGTGAGTGACTCGCCCCCAAAATGTGACTTGACATGTTGTGAAAGCACTTTAGGAAGACACCCTGCCTCACAGTCACACAGAAGAATGCGTTGACAGCTACTGCTGCAGAAGCTGGGTAAATGTGATTGCTCAAGGGCACAAGAAAGGGGTGTGGTGAGAGTGCAAAGCGTTAATAATCCACTCCACAGATCAACCTGAAAGTGAACTGCAGCAGATGTAAGGGAGATGATCAAAAGGAGAGAGGAGGAAGCTATATACTAAAGATGGCCACAGAGAGACAGCTGTGTAAAGTGAAGTGATTAATGAAATTCAAACGTCCAAATGGATGCACTTGAACTCTAACCTGCGACTACACATTCAAAAAGTTTACTCCACTGTGGGGGGAGTCTGTACAGGAAGCATCCACTGGACCCATCTCAGTGAAATATGGCTCTCATAAAACAGCAAGCAGACTTGCTGCTCAATTACAAGAAGGCCATCACGCCTTAACCAGAGGACATCAGCTGAGGTTGTAATTACACTATCACTCATTTACTCAGACAGGCTCACACACATGTTCAAACACACACCCATAAACAACAATATCCTCTGTGTGAAGTGTTAAAGACTGAGGTCTGATGAAGGGAAGAACGTCTCACCTCTGGAACATTGTTGTTCTCCAGGGGAACATTGAGGTCGGAGCGCTGCTGTTTCCTGGGCTGCTCCGCACCATTGCTCACCTGGCAGGTCAACACAGAGAGAACAGACGTGAGGGGAGGAGAATTAGAAAAGCAATTTTCTATAGTTTAGGTCAAACATGTGGAAAACATGTCCTTTTGTCTGTGTTGCTGGTTGGAATGGGAGGCATAGATTTAGGCTGACAAACTCATGTGAATTCTACACCTTTAACAGTCTCCTATTATGCTATTTTTAGGCATATATTATTGGTCTCAGATATATAAAAACATGTCTATATCTGTTTTGCTCAAAATACAAAACAGATCATGCATTTCAGACATCCCTCATATCCCTCTTCTATTTCGAACTGCAGGTTCGGGGTCCTTAGCTTGAAAAAAAAAGAGGAGGGGGAGCTAATGCCTGCTCAGAATTCTACCGGAGATACAGCTAAATGCTCCCGTGATTAAATGCCATATCATGTTCCAAACCACATCCAAGATTATTTCTGAAACAGTATGGAGCTCAAATGCTTTTTCTCTTGCGGGTTTAGGTGAGTTCCTTTTTATTTCCTGCTTTTTTACACATACTCTCTCCAGTACAGGTTAGCTCTGAGTGTTAGCGATGCTAATGTAAACAAAGACCATATTACGTCCAAAACACGTCAGGCATTGTTTCTGATAGCAACTTTCTGATAGTGTCGTAGGTCCACATTTCCGATATGATGTAATCTGGATCAGCTCTGTTGTACCCCCGTTTTTAGAGATTTGGGTACGTAGGAAAAGAGAGAGGGTTTTATTTTCTGACACACCGGGGACACATATTGATGTATAAAAGATATCAAAAAGTGCATTTAGCATGATAGGTCCCCTTTAAAGCCCTCTAGAGTAATAATAACAAATAAAGAGTGTGACATACAAATGATACAAAATAGTGTTTTGTTGGAGTATAAAAGCAGTCTCAGTTGAAACTGTCTTGAACTTGTCCTCCAGCCAGCTTGCTTTTGTCTCATCTCTCTTCACATAAATGCACAGAGGCTACAGTACATCCAGCTTATAATCACACAGAGTGAGGACTACATATATTCCCCTGGATATCCATCTTGCAGTCCACAACTGCTCATTAACATTCAATCTTATTACTAGCTGAAATAAAATCCTCCTGCCAATAAAACCTCCTGCTGCTTGTAGTGGCAGTGAGAAAGTGAAACCTAGCCCATGCTGTTGTGAATCTGTAACAAAATGAATTACCCCGTGCGTGACATAAGTTGCTTCCTATGCGACGAGAGCTAAACGTAAAGTACTTATCAGTATTCATCATGCTGCCATACTCAGTTGTGCAAACAACCATTAAATTAATGAGACTCATGTTGTGGCTTGCTGGGATGGAAAACTAAACCGTGATGCTCTACAAAACTACATTCATGTACATACTGCAATCAAACATGCCTGCATCTGTAATAGAACATCTTTAAGAGGACATGTGTACAACCTTTTCACCAATAAACACACCAATTATACTCCTTTATCATAATTAGCATTCTAGACCCCCACTCAGAGGACTAGCTGCTGCAGTCAATGTGTACACGCAGGACGGATTTAGCAGGATTATTTTCATGATTGAGAGTGTGATATTGCACTCCTGCGAATACTTATGAAATCAGCTTCAAGTTAAACTAAAATAATAAAATAATGTGAGTTTTCCTTTTTGCTAGACATAATTAACCACGGGTGCACAGGCTTTGCTGTCAGTAACAGACTTGGTGGATATAATACGAGAAGTGAGTGCTGTAATACTACATTATCTCAGTCTTTTAACATTGATGGATAAAAGTAAACCTATTCAAGGAAAAGTGTATTGGTATGATTAAACAAAAACTGCTCAAAATTAGTACAAAAAAATTAAGGGAAGCCCTAAAAATATGCTGAGTTCCTATATGGTCGTAAAGCTTTTTTTATTCAAATGCAAATAAAAACAATATTCTAAGCAAGCAGGATATTATAGGAACCGCTGAGTCTGGGCTGCTAAAGCACTTGTCCCTTGTCAAATTAGTGATTTTACCAACATACAATTTCTCAACATGTAGCACAATTTAAAAGAAAAAAGCAATACTGAAGCTTTCCTAATGCATCACACCACCAGATTAGTGTGTAGATGACCTCCCTGTGTTTTGTAACTCTTCTTAGTCATAATCGTTTGAATCCACACTGTGCAGCAAAGCTTTCATTGAATTCACTGTTGTCCTGGTTCACTCAAAGGTCTTGTTGAAGTGCTGTACAGAGAACCATTCATTTGATAACAGAGGACGAGCCGACCAAATAATCTCAGTGAGTCTGGGAAACTGCACTGTGCCGAACGTTCTTCCAATGTAATCTGATTACACTGTCTGACCCAGTTCTGTGTTACAAATGAGCCACATAGTGAGTGTAACATGTGCACAATGTGGAGCAGGTGTGGATCAGCAAGCTGCCCACAGGAGACTTTCCTGTTCTCCTTTTAGCATCTGACTTTCAGAGGAGGGAGGAGCTCTGCGTGTGTGAGTGTATAGATGTGACTACAGAGTGGGTGTCTGCATTCATTCAGGCCTGTGAGAAGGAGAGAGATGAGGAGGGGGACATCTCAAGGTAACTTGGGGGAGGGGAGAGGCTCCAGCTATTATCTGGAAGGCGATGAGCAACATGTCGTGGCTCAAGTAACTCATCTTCAGCTCGTCACCACAAATATCTTTCCATATTCAATGGCAGGGGTCTCTGCCACATAGCATCATAATATCCTGAATATACAGTATGGTATTTAGCATATTGGTATGTTCAAGGGCTGGGCGGTTGGCTGAGTACATGAACAGTTGTTTTTTTGTTTTGGTATTTAATGGTCTGCATCAAGCAAGTTACTAAGTAGATTTATGTGCTGTCCTCATTCCAATTTTGAGGAACTCTGAGGTAAATTGTGTACTATTACTCCACTACATTTATTTAATACCTTTAGTTACTTTGCAGATTTGGATTAATGACGTAAAATATAATCAACACCTAAACAACACTTTAGTTACACCTGGAGTACAATTCACAAGCTACCCTGCAGTTTACAAAGTAACTAAATGTAGCTGTACCTTTACCAGCTTTGATAACACAAATCTGCATCAATATATATAATCAAAACATATAATATATATAATTCTGAAATGGACCTACATACAGTAATGAGTACTTTTACTTTTGGTACTTCAAGTATATTCTGATGACAATACTTTGCTACTTTTACTTAAGTAACATTTTTAATGCAGGACTTTTACTTGTAACAGAGTATTCCCACACTCCGGTACTTTTACTTTGACCTAAGTACAAGATCTGAGTACTTTTCCCACCTCTGCGTCCAAATAAATCAGAGCAGTTTAGCCACTGCTCAGCAGTTAGACATGGCACATAGCCATCACAGCATAAAATAGCATAAAACAGAGCATCTTACTCTAAGAAAGTTATTTATTTTGGCAAATCCAGAGTAAGTGATTGTTGTAACAGCTTACATACTAACCAAGATGGGGTTGTGGTGTGGGTGACACACACACACACACTCCAAAATATTGGCATTGGTTGTTAAGCTGACAGTGAATGGATGGAAATTAAAACATATCGCTCCATCCCGTTGTGTTTCCTCTGATCATCTGTGGGTGCTACTCTCCAAGTGAAGTTCTATAGCCTAATTGGGTTGGAAAGTATGTTCATGTTTTGGAAAGGCAAACCAACAGGGACAGATTATGGAAAAAAACAGGTCTCCCAGCTAACCAATCATAAACATCTCACCTGCTCTTGTTGCCATCGCTGCCTGTCCTCAGAGGAGCGTGCGTGTGCCTTGACGCCCCTCTGGAGGTCGGGGGTGTTGTGGTGCATGGAGGGCAGGTTCAGGGACTTGGGTCTGCTGTCATGGCGATGGGGAGCTGGTGGGTAGGGGGCAGCGTCAGGCTTGGGGTGAGGGTAGTCGCTCGGGGCAGGGTCCTGCGCCAGCTCCTCCGGGCTCTGGTCCGTGCCGCTGCTCAGACTCCCCATGCTCATACTTATCTTGATCTCAGCTACTATTTGGTCAATGTCCTCCTCCGCCTCCTCCCCCGTCTCCCCCTCCACCACCAGCACCTTACGGCCACGGTACGGAGAGACTCGCACCGAGTTCCCATTGTCCTCTGGGGCATAGTAGTCTCCAGTGTAGGCCCTGCCATGTCTCTCCTCTTCGTCACCATCCTCATCTTCTTCCTCATTAGGGCAGTACTCCTCACTCTCTGCCTCCTCCTCTTCCTCTCTGTCCTGCAGGGTGTCTGTAAGGGGGGGCTGGTGGTGGTGATGGTTGTTATGGTGATGGTCCAAAATGGGTTCTGGTCTTCCATTGTAGATCTGTTCGTCTGGATCCTGCTCCACCACGTCGCAGCGAACCTCCCCCTCTCCCTCCACCCACTCCTCCCCCAGGTGCCTCTCTCGCCCCGCCCAGGCCTCCTGCCTGACCTGGCCTTCCTCTATCCACTCCTCCCTCACCTCCTCGTCTTCCTCTCTCCACTCCTCCCCGGGATCTTCATCTCCCTCTCTCAATTCCTCCCTCGGCTCCTCATCTCCTTCTCTCCATTCCTCCCTGGGCTCCTCATCTCCTTCTCTCCATTCCTCCCTCGGCTCCTCATCTCCTTCTCTCCACTCCTCCCTCGGCACTTCCTCTCCCTCCATATCTCCCGCTCTCCACTCCTCCCTCGGCACTTCGTCTGCCTCCTCATCTCCCTCTATCCACTCCTCCTTCGGCACTTCATCTCCCTCCACATCTCCCGCTCTCCACTCCTCCCTCGGCACTTCGTCTCCCTCCTCATCTCCCTCTATCCACTCCTCCTTCGGCACTTCATCTCCCTCCACATCTCCCGCTCTCCACTCCTCCCTCGGCACTTCGTCTCCCTCCTCATCTCCCTCTATCCACTCCTCCTTCGGCACTTCATCTCCCTCCACATCTCCCTCTATCCACTCCTCCCTCGGCTCTTCATCTCCCTCTATCCACTCCTCCCTCGGCTCTTCATCTCCCTCTATCCACTCCTCCCTCGGCTCTTCATCTCCCTCTGTCCACTCCTGCCTCACCCCTTCTTCCTCTTCTCTCCACTCTTCCCTCACTGCCCCCTCTACCTCCTCATCTTCCACCCATTCTTTCTCTCTCACTTCTGCTGGCCCCTCCCCCTCTACCTCCTCGACCCACCCTTCCACAGCCTCCGGACGCTCTTCAGTGGGGTCTCCCCCTTCCGGCATGGGGGTGACACCGTCCCCCTGGCTCTGGCTGGGGTTACACTCCCCCTGGTTGCTGCAATTCATACCCTCCATGTAACTGTCGTCCTCCGGGCAGTAGCGGATGTAGTAAGTCACACCTTCATCTTCCTCTGCCATCCCTGGAGAGATTAATGATGACATAGAGATGTGGGGCGTCTTTATTCAAATCCCAACAAGTGCTGAGCTACTAAACATTTACAGGTACTTATCATGGGAATAGGAACTCAAAATCACTTCACTCATTTAATTTGTCACTGTCAAGGGATATTACTCATGTTTTAATTCTGAGAGACAAGGTTTCCAAGTTATTTTCCAAGTGGAAATTCAGTCATGGTACAAAATAAAACCTGTGGGGATATTTTTTCCACATTGCACCCTTGCTTGAATTCACAAAAATGACTCATTCGGATGATGATGCAGCTTCTGACTGTTACATTTTCAGCTTCGGTTATTTCTTTTATTTGTGTAGTTCTTGCTCAACAGAGGAAAAAAGGATAAAATAAGCTATCAGGGCTGTAGAAAGAGACAGCGAAGGTTCAGAATCAATAACGGAATAATGGATACTCACCATCATTGTAGTCTTCATCTGAGGTGTTGTTAATGTAGTCAGAGCTGGAGTCATCATCCAGGCTGTCAGCTCCACCGTGGAAGTCCGCCCGCACATGAACATCTGGTTCACGTTCTGGCGTAGAGGGTGTTGCTGGCCGCTTGTTCTCCAGTTCTGCATCTACTGGGTTGCTGTACAGCTTCACTTCCACCTCTGCGTTCTCCTCCACTTCTGGATGGGTGCGACCCACGTCTGGCGATTTGGGAGGAGAGTATTGTGCCTTACAGGAACGGGGGAGAGGTTTCTGATCACGAGGCTCTTTGGGGTAGCGGACCGGGCGTTGGCGAGGGGGAATGACTTTCAGATCACATGACTCTGTAGGACGAGGAGTGGGGCAAGAGGCAGGTCCTGGGGCAGCCATGCCGTTCACTACGCTGGTCCCCGGCCTCTTCCTATGAGCCATGAGTGGCCGCTTACTGGCCATGCATTGTTATTGGTTTGACCCTAGGAGAAAGATGAAGACACATGAGCAGTGTTAGATCAACTTTAAATGCAACTATTAACCACTCCCATGTGAGTGCATACACAAGAGAAGAACAAACTATAATAGATCTGAATATATTTAAATGCACAGCGCTGAAGTTGGAATGCTTTGGAGCTTTTACCACTGTTGTGCGTTTCAGCAGAACAAAAAATGGCAAATCTGCTCACACAATATATTTCCTTTCCAAACACATAACATGGAGCTTTATTCATCTTTTTCTGCCCTTTGCATACAGCTGCAAAATTGTTTCATTGCCTGACAAACCAATCTGTTCCTGTAATTGAGCATGGCATTCTCTAGTTTACATACAGAAGAATACATTTTTGCCTATTTAGCTCAACTTTGGCTTCAAATACAACAATTAAGGGGCTCATTGATCACTCAGGCTCAGCTTTAGAACAATAGACACAGAGACCGTGTTGGTCAAATATAACTAATGGGACTCTTCCGGGGAAAAAATCAATAGTTTAATCAAAGTCATCTCCACATGCTGCACACATGACCTCGTATCATTGGGCTTGCAGATGGCAATCATGACTGGTTGAAGATTGATTTGGTAGCTTGTTGGTAGCAACATGCTACGACATTAACATACATCATCAACGTTATGGAGCTACACCTCTACCTGTGTTAATGTGCTGAATGATTACACTTTTGGACACAAACAGTGTATGGCTAATTCTCATAACAATGAAATTCTTAATTTTCAGTTGATTTTTACTCCAATGAAAATATAGATAGAAACATTTTAATTCTGATTTTAGACATTTAGATTTGAACAGCTACATAATTCAGTTAAGATACTCAAGAAAGTATATTCTAGCATTGGCTATATTAACATTCAGAGAAACCCAAGAACAGCTCAAAATAAAGTATAAGGCCTACTTTCCCAAATATAAGAACAGATGTAATAAAAAATGTACCCGAAAACATCAAAAGGTATGCTTTTGTTTGTGAATAGATCCCTTTATAGACATAAGAAACACACACATATGCAAGCCAAGCATCAACACACAAACATATTGAAAGCACAAAGTTAAGAGCACTTTACTCTTTGTTGTACTGTATTTAAACAACCAACAACGTTCTGTAAAGTGCGCCCTCTGTGCCCTGTATCATCTATTTTGGAGCCAACCCCACTCTGTTTTGCCATCATGTTGCCATGAACAACTGCCCTCAAGAGAGATGGTCTTGCTGCTTTCCCCCTTTTTCCTTCACCATAATTATATTTTCCATCACCAGAGATTACACTGGTGAGTTAGCTCTGCACAACCTGGCACAAACAAATCAGCTCTAAAACACAACGACGCAAATACAGAAAGAAGCACACACACACAGTGGGTTGTTCCACAGGTAGCCAGGTTAGGGGACTGAGATTACATGTACACAAGCCCACGTACTGGGCTGACTGGCTCTTGTTGCTGTATGGCAAACGTCATTTTTTTATCAAATAAAAGCACTACAAAAGAGGCTTCTTCACAGTGATTGTAAATGCACACACTGTTCTTTACACCTGATGAAATATAGCAACATGTACATCATTGGAAATAGAAAAAGGCAAAAACGTTTCCACTTAATGAAATAAAAATGAAGGCTTGTTAACAGCGAGGAAACCATGCACTGACTGAGTTTCCTACCTGATGTCCTGAGCAGGGTGGTGGGATACAATAGCACTCAAACAACGGCCCTATCCTCCCCTCCCTCAAATGTTTCCCTTTGCTCCTCCCTTCCCCCACCAGCTGCTCCACATCATGCACCTCCCTGGCTCCCCCCCACCCCCTTCTTCCTCCACATTATAGCCCCGCCTAGTTCAATCCCCCAGAGCTGAGGGTAAGGATTGGTAACTATGGGTAACTGCATCCCTTGGGGACTGATACCCTTTGACCTCTTCTTTGTTGCCCTCCTATTCATACGCCTTCTTTTTTTTTGGTGCAGTGTTGTCCGACTCTTCAAGTATTTCTATCATATCATGTTTTTTAATGTTTATATTTTTCGAGAGTGCCATTACATCTGAATTTGGAAATCATATAAGACTCAAGCCAGGTGGCTTTTCCTAAATCCGCTTTGTCTTGCATGCATTTCCGAATTGACATTGTTTATTCAATGAGCATGCATTTGTATGTCATGAGACACAGGTGGGATCTTTCCAGCCTGTTTGGTATTACTGTGACATATTTAGAATACAAGAGAGCACAGTACAACTAAATACACCGAATATGTGTCTACATGTAATAGTTTGTATCTAAACTCATTACATACATTTGATCAATAGCGGCATGAAAATGGTTAGTCAGTTTGTTTGTTTGTATATATCTACAATGTCAATTGTAGTACAGACTAGTTATTATATCTTATGCAGGTGCAAAATGTATGTAAATATATTCAGTCAGCTGGTGTGCGCAATTTTAAATGATGTCGAGCAAGGTCAGGTGACATGAAGCAACGCAGTTGTCGTTTTTCTATTGCTTATTAAAATTGGCCTTGACCATGCCCTTCATATAATTTTTCAAATCATTGCCCAAACTAAAGTCTTATTTACATGTTATGCTTTTTGTTGCTCTGCCTTGTTAGCAGAGATGTGCTCCAGCCCCATGGGAGCCTGAATATAAATGAGTGGCTAAAGAAAATGAATCAATGATTGGTGTAAAAAGAAATCCAAATCCAGCTGGCTCCAACACACTTTACATCCCACCGGCACGCAAACACAAACAAAATGTTTTTGTGTCCCTCAAAAAAGCGCTGAAATGTAGGCAATAACAAGAGCATACCAGCCTGTCTGCAGTATCCAAATTATCTGGTATGAGCTACAGCTGTGTACCACTTGTGAAGGGCTGTCGCTATGGACATAGCTATTCATGTTTGCCAAAAAATGCTTCATCTATGGTAAGAGAAAGCTTTGAATTACCCTCAGACTCTTGTTTGAGGTAAAGAAGGGCTAAGGAGAGGACAGACGACCAGAGAGGCAATCAGAAAGCAGCAGATGGCTCAGTGAGAGCGAGGGCCGCGGGAATACTAATGTCTGGCTGCCTTGAATTCTGAGATCTGACCTCTGCTCACACCAGTGAATGAGACAGGCAGGTTTCTACAGGGAAGAGACGAGACAGGACAGATGAGTGTGAACCATAAAGAGTCATTGAATGTAATATGACAGAAACAGTATTTCTTATTCTGTTAGCCTGTAATGAGCCAGCCTCTTAGATTGTGGGAAAGACAAGATCACTATCAATGAGCTATTAAACTCAGAGACCTACCTGAACTTAGACAGAGATTCAATTTAATGTTGGTTAAACCCTTGCAGTGTAGATATTTGTGTGCTTATCTTCTGCAGTAGTTCAATTTCTCACTTTTTACATGTTTGATGCATGCATAGCTGGATATTAACCACAAGGCTTATTATATTACTTTCAAAAGATTTTGAATGTGAGCTCTAAGAGGTGAAATTGGAAGAGTGGGGGGAGGCAGTGGGTTGTTGGGCAGGTGGATTACGTTCTCTCTTGTACCAAATACATTTCAATGCTGATGCAACCTGCAAATGGCAACTGCACATTATGCAGCACTTTTCACAGTGGCAAACACTTTTAAGCATTGTAAGCATTAGCTGGACCACTGCCTTTCTAAAGTAGGTTTTTTATAGATTATTGATCTTGATAATTAGGAAATTATATGCATGAATGCAAAATAAGTTTTAATATAAAACTTCAATCGTCTCTCTGATCATGTGTAATTTTTCTAACTTTTTAGAAGTCTAGCAAGATAATATCCACTTGACATATACTGTACACACATAAAGAAAGACAGGTACCACTTTACAATAAGGGTTTATTAATAGTTTGTAATTAATTAATTAATTAGGTTGTGAACACTTTATAAATCATTAATAAGCCTTTATAAGACATGAGATAAACAGGGCAACTGTGACCGGTTGCTTGCCAAATAGTGAGCCCACATTTATCTGTACTGCTAAGCCTTATATTCAGGGCTGCACATAACTGGTGCGCATGCGCACTTCCGCCAAAAAAAGAGCAGTGTCATTTGAAAAAAGGCGCATTTGCGTACCAACATTGAGAGAGGGATAAGAGAGAAGGGAGAAGAGAGAGAGAGAGAAATATATTTGCGAGTTAAATATGAACCTATGATATGAACTCAGGGCCGGCCCGTAGCACTGGCGTAATAGATGTTAGCCTAGGGCGCTAGATCAGGTAGGGCGCTGCGCTGACAGCTCTGGGAGGGAAAAAAACATGTTTGACCGTTGGTGCTCATCCTAATTTTTGGCCTCGATGTAACAATATTCATAATTAAGTAAATGTAACACCCTTTTCACCCCGGTTACACGTTTCATTTGCCCTGTACGATGGGCGCTGTAAGTGATGAAAATGGGGGATGTTGGCTTATCTGGCGCCCGCAGCTCACAGCCAAAATGCGAGTGAGCGTGGGAGCGAGCGTGGGAGCGAGCGAGGGCGCTCCGGTACCGGCGCTTTTGTTATTAGAATCTGGTGCTAGCTGCTCTAACGGATATAAGAAGAAGATGTTTCTACAATAATGTGGAGGGAGAGTCCTCTCCAGTCAGACTGAGAGGCTGATAACTACAGCTCGGTGAGGTAAGTACTCCGAGTGTTAGATAGTTCACTTTAGTCTAAGTTCAAACGGTTTGGTCACAATTTATGTAAACACATATTTCCAAGGCTATAATTATTGGGATAAACAGGTTTGAAATCATTCCAATGTATACTATAGGACAATAACCAAAAATATCCTTTAAAACTGGAGAGATAAAAAAAAATGCATAAATAAATGTTAAGGTAAAATAAGTTATATTCATTTGTTATTGGCTATGGTAGGTTATTGGTTATGTTCACATACTTATTTGATTACATCCACTTGTCTAAGAGACAACAGAGACTTTCGACCCAAAACCAGCTGTTGACTTGTGGATGCAAGCAGCTAATCGCAGACTCAACCA